CTATTCCCTAAAGACCTTAAAAGAGCATACTATATTGATACTGCTACGTCGATGTTCATAGCAGCACAGTTCACAATAGCTAGACTATGGAACCAACCTAGATGCCCTGCAATAGATGAATGGATTAAAAAAATGTGGCATTTATACACAATGGAGTATTACTCTGCACTAAAAAAATGACAAAATCCTGGCATTTGCAGGGAAATGGATGGCATTAGAGCAGATTATGCGAAGTGAAGCTAGCCAAGCCCTAAAAAACAAATGCCAAATGTCTTCTTTGATATAAGGAGAGCAATTAAGAACAGAGCAGGGAAGAAGAGCATGAGAAGAAGTTTAACATTAAACAAGGATGAGAGGTGGGAGGGAAAGGGAGAGAGAAGGGAAATTGCATGGAAATGGAAGGAGACCCTCATTGTTATACAAAATTACATATAAGAGGAAGTGAGGGGAAAGGGAAAAAAAAGCAAGGGAGAGAAATGAATTATAGTAGATGGGGTAGAGAGAGAAAATGGGAGGAGAGGGAAGGGGAGGAGGGATAATAGAAGATAGGAATGGCAGCAGAATACAAAAGACACTAGTATGGCAATATGTAAAAACGTGGATGTGTAACTGATGTGATTCAGCAATCTGTATACGGGGTAAAAATCGGAGTTCATAACCTGTTTGAATCAAGTGTATGAAAGATGATATGTCAAGAACTATGTAATGTTTTGAACAACTAATAATAAAAAGAAGAAGAAAAGGGAGGAATATGTGGGAAGCCATTCTTGCACGTGATTGGGCATCTCCCTGATTGGGTGTGAGTCGTTCCGGCTAAACTGTGTCGGAACTAATCCCCACCCTTTCTAGGTGCGAGAGCCCATCCTTGTGGGGGTGTGACTGACCATTGACCCTGAGACCAATCACTGACCCTGACCTTGGAATGCTGTCCCCCTCCACCTTCATTGGATGGAATTTTCCCCTGAATTTCTTGTTCCCCAATAAAGGCCACTCTCTGGCGTGCCCTGCCTCTCTCCTACTAGTCTGTAAACCTGGCTGCCCCACTGGGTGGCTCGAGGCAGGAGCCAGAGGGGAGAGCCGTTTCAGACCTGGTCAAAGAAAAAGGTAATTTGAATTTATGTGTGTTTATTTTGATCTCACTAGTTAACTTCTATGCTTCGAACCTCTAGTATGAAGCTAGCGTGCTGGTGGTGAGGCTGGTGAGCTGGGAAGATATAAGTATATATTTTTATTTTTTGATTTGCATTTCTCTAACTGCTAGTGATGATGAATAGTTTTTGATACAATTGTTGATTGATTGTACATCATTTTCTGAGAAATGTCTGTTTAGGTCCTTGGCCCATTTATTGATTGGGTTATTTATTTTTTTAGTGTTTAACTTCTTGAGTTCTTTATATACCCTAGAAATTAGTGCTCTATCTGATGTGTGAGGGGTAAAGATTTGCTCTCAAGATGTACGCTCTTTGGGGCTGGGGATGTGGCTCAAGCGGTAGCGCGCTCGCCTGGCATGCGTGCGGCCCGGGTTCGATCCTCAGCACCACATACCAAC